ATGTTGTCTTAAGCTAGCTGTTTTGCGCTCTCACCCACCCCCCGCGTCGTAAACTTTCTCGCTCTTTCGTTTTGCGCTCTTTAACAATTTGCTATTTTTTTTTTTCAAACTATGTTTTGCATTTTCTGTTGCTTCATCGTCGTTACAGCAGCAAAATGCGTCAGCAAAAAAGATAAATAAAAATGTAACAGTTTTACACAAAAACTCAACGCACTTTATAGTTTTTTTTTGCTCAAATTTGCGTATTTTACAAGTGTGTGTGTGTGTAACTTGTTGCTTTGTTGCTGTTGATGTAATTGTTGCTTGGAACTTTGGCGCTGTCTGTCTGCCTTTTGCTCTCTGCTAACATTTAAAATATACAGTTACCATTGCCTCACACACACACTCACACACATGGCCAGTGGGCAGAAGTCTTGATCTGTGCCTCTGTGTCTTGCCCAAGCAACCAGCCATCGCTGTCTTCAATCGTTGCGCTTGGCGGCTTCTGCTGCTGCGGCTGCTGCTGCTGCTGCTTGTTGTTTGTTGTCAGCTTGTTTCCAACTTCGATTCTCCGCGTGCGCTCTGTGCTTTTAGCTTTGCTCTTTGCCTCTCTACCCTCACTCCGGCCGTCGTCGTCGCCGTTACTGCCACCTGCACTGATTGTTGTTGCTGCTCCGCTGCTACAATTAAGTTTTACTTTATGTTTATAGCCGCTGCTGGCGTTCAAGTGGCTTTTTTCTTCTTCTTTTTTGTTTTATTTTCTCAGCGTTTGCCATTCATGCGTTCGCTGTTCGCTCTACTCTACACTTGCCAGCGTCGTCGCTCACCTTCGGCTACTACTGTTGCTGTGCTGTGTCAGTTGCTGTTGTTGTTGTTATAGCTGCTGCTGTTGCTGTTGCTGCTGTCGCTGGCTAGCAAAAATTTCATTTGCCGTTTTGTCAGTTGGCTTTTAAACATTTACAGAAACAGTTCGCGACGCGCTAAATAAATTTTCAATTAAACACCCCAAAAAAAAACTTTAATTCAATTATATTTTTCATTAATATTATTAACGATGTTGATTGTTGTTATTGTTACTGTTGTGTAAATAACCGTTAGAGTGCAGAAAAAAACACAAACGCATTTTACGTCTTGTCATGAAAATTGTTTTCAAAATGGCTGCCGCTGCCATTGCGTGAAAGCCAAAGAAGAAGAAAAAGCAGATGAAGAAGAAATATAAAATTGAAAGTTTAAATCAAGTGGATATCAGAATTTAAATATATATAGATATATATATTGTAGTCCATTGCTTGTATAGTTTGAGCTGCTTGCCAGGAACCGCTTGGGGGCCAGGCTTAACGTGTAACGGTAAAAGCCAGTCAGAGCACAGATCGCAGCAGAGCGTCGTACGCCTAAAGGTCAGGCCAAGTAGCATGGAAATGCCAGCAACAACAACAACGACTACGACAACAAATTTGCAAAAAGGAAGCAACCATGAAACCAGTTTGACAACCACTTTAAACTGTAGTCAAAGCGAATGCAACAACAGCAACAAACAACTGAACAATTGAACAAGTGATTTATGTGAAAGTGAATTGACACAAATATTGACCAAAAATTACAACAAATCTCTTTTACGCTCAATTACTTCAATAAAAGTGAAACACATTCCAATTATCTTTAAAAAGAAATAAATATATATATATATATATATATCTTGAGTGTGTTGCAGATTTTGAAGTTTGATTAGCGGCATTTGAGATGATGCTTCTATCGGCTCTCAAGCTGGGTAAGCAAATATGACGATGACGCAAATCTAATCCGAAAAGTACAAAATTCGATTCTTGTATTCCTTTTTGGTATACGAAATGCCGCTTAACTTGTTTCAATAACTCAATATACAGTAGAAATTCTGTTTAGTGAACAGAAAAGATTTTAATTGGGAAAATTAAAAAAAAAAAATAGTATAAATTTTTAGTATTGTTTGAGATTTAAAAAGAAAAATACTAAAAAAATAAAAAATATTTTTCTAAAATCATAAAAATATAAATAAAAAATTTAATATAAGAAATTATAAAAACTAAATTGCTATAATTTTGAAAACATAAAAAATACAAATATTAATTTGTATATTATATTTTATTAAATCATAAAAATAACAAAAAAAAATTTTAAACAATATAAAAAAAATACAAATTTCAATAATAACAATATTTTAAGAATATTTGAAATTTAAAAAAAAAAAAACACATAGTCAAGGCTTCACTGTATATATAAAAAAAAAAATATATATAAAAAAAGAATACTTTACAATATAAAGTATACAAAAATTAAAATAATGTGTTATATAACAGATAAACAAATATAATAAGCGTCTATGAAAATTATACGTTTGTCGAGGCTTCACTGTATGCGTTTCTTGTGTTGCCCTTATGTTTAAGGCCATAGTACAACTTGTTTCAATAGCTCTATAAAAATATCTATGCATAAATATATATATTAAGGTAGCTCAGCTTGCTGTGGGCGTTAGAGAGCGTGAGTCACGCTTGAGCACGGCTCAAAAACAGAGTTTCACCTGCACAGGTACAAGAACAAGCCATAGAACACGTGTTTGAAAGTCTGGTAACTTGCTTTGTTTGTCAGTTAGCAAGGTCTGGCAGCTGCATTCAACATTTATTTGCATAACAATTTGCCAAGCAGCAAGAAAAATGCAAAAGTGCAAGAAAATGCAAAGAAAATTACACAATTGGCCATAAACACGATTGCGGCGGCTGCGGCAGGTAATGACAATTTGTCAGGCCACGCCCAGTGCGCCTCAAATCATAAGCAATCATATTTATATACCTGTATATATAGAGTCTCGTATATGAGCATGATAAAAATGTTTTGCTTCCGTTTGTCGGGGGGCCAATTTGCTTATGTGTGTGGAAAATTGTGGATAGAAAGCTTGAAATAATTGAGATAAAGCTTTGGCTCTTAGTCAGCCACAACGAAACTGAGATACACTTATATTGCGAGTTATAATGAATATTATTATATAAACTATTATATATATATTTCCAATTAATATGCTTCTTCTCTCTATATATTTATAATTATTAATAATAAATGTTTTCAATCTACAACTTTGTTATACCAGCTTATCGATAACATTTCCAGCTTTAGCTTTAACTTAATATCGATAGCTTGAGTGCCTTAAATTAAATTCAAGGCATTGCCCAAGTTGCCTCCGCTCTACACTTCGCTTCTCACTGGCAATGCAGCTTTAACCAGACAATGAAACTTGTGCTGCAGGCGCTTTTCATTTGCATGGAGGAAAATGGCATAACAAAAGCAAAAAGCGGCGCCGGCAAGTGCGATGGGAAAAGAAAAACTTTCTATTTTTTTTTGTCTGCTTTTGTTGTAGCTGCAGCTGCCTGCAGGCTGCAGTGTCGCCACGTTTTGCTTGTTGTTTAGGCAACGTGAGAGAGCTCAAGAAAGAGGGCGAACAGGTAGGCAGGCAGAGAGAGCGAGAGAGAGAGGGAGAAGGAGAAATAGAAAGACGTAGGCAGCGCACACCGTGAGTTTTCACATGAAAAATGTGGCCCGCATTTGCGATATTGAAAATTGTTTGATCAATTGAAAAGCTTTGTCTTATGCTTTGTGCTTTGTCTTTTTTCCCGCAGGGCATTTACAAATATCAATATATATTATTAAAAAATAAATAAAAAACACAGAAAACTAACTGTGAATGCAGGCTTGGGAAATCGTTTCACTTTCGCTACGATTAACCTTCACTTTTTTGTATAAAATTTGGATTCGATTCGATTCTCGAGCAAAAACGCCTGCGCAAGCGGGCTTCAAGAGGCGCCTACTTGAGTGCTCGCAGCATTGAAGTGCTTACAGAGCTCGAGTACTCGAATTTTAACTGCTGCTTACTCATCGCAACACACACATACGCACGCAGATACTCAACTGTGTCTTTGTAATTGTTGCATAAGTCGCCCACAACTCACAAAAAAAAAAAAGAAAAAAAAAACTACAAAAATTTTCCTTAATTGGGGTTAGATTTGGAGTTCAGTTTTTTACCCTGGAAAAGTAACAAAAAAAAGTTTCCGCTACAAAAAGTCCATAATTTAAATTTATATACTATATATTATTTAGTGTTATCTAACGTTATAGCTGAACAATCTATAAATATCGATTCATTTTTGACATATTTTTGAAAAGCTTTTGGCCTTATGTCAAACTTAAACTCCCAGATTAACAAATCATTTTTTATGCCTCGCCTAATTACAGGGTAACTTTGAGTAAATCATTTCATATTGGAGCACTCACACATTATAGTTATTTTTAAAGCTTTTTCGGTTCGTTTGTTTTGCATGTAGTGAAATATTATTGACAGACACTGAGCTGATGTGAGTTAGATAAAGTCATCAGCCGTGTCAGGCGTCTAAGCTGTGTCTGCCCACCCTCAACCTCAACTTTAACCCCTCGCTACCTCATGATTGGCGGCCTGTGGGCGTTTGGGTCGCCTTGGCATCTCACTGTCTGCGCTCAGCCATTAGCATTTCATTCAGTGTCGAATTGGCGTAATTAACCTTGGCAAGAATCGGCAAGTCAAGTCGAGTTTTTTTTTGAGACTTTAAGGCGATTTTCGATACTTTGCTTTGGCTAATTACCGCCAACGAGTGTTGAGCCAGTATTTTGTATGCCAGTGTGATTAATTTTTGTTGATATTTGACTTCCATTTATTTGGCTTTTTGTCAATTGGCCGGCAAATGCTGTGCCTTGAAAACGAAAGACTTAGACAACGAACTTGAACCCAAGTTTTGGCTGTAATTAAAAACAAATGGCAAACATTTGATCAAGTTTATTTGATTAAATGATATATGTTTAATAAATGAAATTATTTTGTTATTGTTTGAGAATTTGCTCTAATTTTATATTCATATTCTCTCATATAAACGAAAGACTTAGGCAACAAACTTGAACCAAATTTGCTTGCATATAAAAGAATTTGCATTCTCATTAAACATTTTCCGATTCTCTTGCTTTTCCAGGCAACGGCAGTTCTCCAGCCCAGAATTCGACGCGCAGCATCAGTCCAAACAACTCGACAACCAACAGTCAATTCAGTTTGCAACACAACAGCTCCGGCAGCCTAGGCGGCAGTGGTGTCGGTTGTGTTGGTGTTGGTGGTGGCATTGCCGTTGGTGTCAGCGGTGTTGGTGCAGGCTTGAACAGCTCAAACGGCGTTGGAGGCGGCGGTGGCAATTGTACGCCCACATCGCTACAGCCACAGGTAAGATGAAGAGAGCGAGAGCCCGACAGAGATCTGTTATCTAAATGTTTTTTCTTTTTGATTAACTTTGCAGTCCTCGCTGACAACGTTTAAGCAATCACCCACTTTACTTAACGGCAACGGCGTTTTATTGGATGCCAACATGCCCGGCGGAATTCCAACGCCCGGCACGCCCAACTCCAAAGCCAAGGTAAGCTATGGAGCTCCTAATTCTACTATTATTATATATATATAATAATCGATAAAGATATCTTCGGCATATAAATTGAGGGCTCTTCGACTAATATCTTTCTATCTATAGCGAGTTCTTAACTAAAGAAACTCAATTCCTAGTGATTATATCTTTATGAAACTGGGTACAACTGTTTCTTATTATAGTCAATAGCATATATGTCAAAATCGTCGCTTAACTCTATCATTTAGCTCCCATAGAAGTATCCTGTTAAAAAATCTGTTTATCCTTTTTGGAAGTTTTCCAATATTAAAAATCTGTAGCATACTTCTCTCCTATCCAAAAAAATCCTCTCACTAGCCCTTATTCATAATATATCATAAAGCTTCTATATTTACTCCAATCTTTTCTTTTTCAGGACAATTCTCACTTTGTCAAGCTCGTAGTGGCGCTCTATCCATTCAAAGCCATTGAAGGCGGCGATTTATCCCTAGAAAAGGTAAATAGTTTTTTTTAAACACTATTATAATATACTTAATTAAAATATCATCTCATTTTTAGAATGCGGAATATGAGGTCATTGACGATTCCCAGGAGCATTGGTGGAAGGTCAAGGATGCAGTTGGCAATGTCGGCTACATACCCAGCAATTATGTGAAGCCCAAGGCGCTGTTGGGTCTGGAGCGTTACGAGTAAGGCTAAAAATCTTTCTACCTGTATATATATATATTTTACAACTGATCTTAACTTTTGCAGATGGTATGTGGGCGACATGTCGCGACAACGTGCCGAATCGCTGCTCAAGCAGGGCGACAAGGAGGGTTGCTTTGTGGTGCGCAAGTCATCGACCAAGGGTCTCTATACTTTATCGCTGCATACCAAAGTGTAAGTGCTCTAATTAAACCCTTTCATCATCAATACTAATCAGTTTCAACCGCAGTCCCCAATCGCATGTGAAGCACTATCACATCAAGCAGAACGCCCGCGGCGAATATTATCTGAGTGAGAAGCACTGCTGCGAGACTATACCGGATCTGATTAACTATCATCGCCATAATTCGGGCGGTTTGGCGTGCAGACTAAAGTCATCTCCATGCGATCGTCCAGTGCCACCGACAGCGGGCTTGTCCCATGACAAATGGGAAATCCATCCCATGGAGCTAATGCTGATGGAGGAGCTGGGCTCGGGCCAGTTTGGTGTAGTGCGACGCGGCAAATGGCGTGGCTCAATCGATACAGCGGTCAAGATGATGAAGGAGGGCACCATGTCCGAGGATGATTTCATCGAGGAGGCCAAGGTGATGACCAAGCTCCAACATCCGAATCTCGTACAGCTCTATGGCGTCTGCTCGAAGCATCGTCCCATTTATATTGTCACCGAATATATGAAGCATGGCTCGCTACTCAACTATTTGCGCCGGCACGAGAATACGCTAATTGGAAACATGGGCCTCCTGTTGGACATGTGCATACAAGTGAGCAAAGGCATGGCCTATCTGGAGCGACACAACTATATACATCGCGATCTGGCGGCACGCAATTGCCTTGTTGGCTCCGAAAATGTTGTGAAAGTGGCCGATTTCGGACTCGCCCGCTACGTGCTGGACGATCAATACACCAGCTCTGGCGGCACCAAGTTTCCCATCAAATGGGCACCGCCCGAGGTGCTCAACTACACGCGCTTCTCATCCAAAAGCGATGTGTGGGCCTATGGTGAGTACAACTTAGGCAAAGCTAATTACAACTTTATTATAATATGTAGAGGGTATTTTTAGCATAATATTTGTAACTTGTTTTTTCTATTTATGCAGGTGTTCTCATGTGGGAGATCTTCACCTGTGGCAAAATGCCCTATGGCCGCCTAAAGAACACCGAAGTTGTGGAGCGTGTGCAGCGTGGCATTATACTAGAGAAACCAAAGTCGTGTGCCAAGGAGATATACGAAGTAAGCAATCCATTGCAATATATAATATATATAGATTATACTATATAGTGGTTCCTCCAATTGCAGGTTATGAAGAAGTGCTGGTCGCATGGCCCAGAGGAGCGTCCGTCGTTCCGTGTGCTCAAAGAGCAGTTGGCACTTGTGGCCCAAACGCTGACCGACTAAGTGAGTCGAGTGGGGAGACAATGGATCAACGTCTGGGATCACGCACTGATTAGCAAAACCAACATCAACATATAACTAAATATTAACTATAAAGAGCTAAAGTTAATTATATACGATATATATACTTATATATATATATACGATATGAAATGATATGAAGGCATAAAATTAAGTAACAACTCAAGCTGATTATGTTTGAGTTCATGCATAGTTTTTACTAATCTATATGTATGAACGAAAGCTAAATGATTATTCATAATTATTATATTATTTATAATGTATTGAGAGAGCTGTAAAGCTGGGCAAATGATATCATTATGTTTATATAAACCGAAATAGATGTGTGTAAATGTACGTGCATGGTTAAAGAGCGCAATTAACTGGCATAAAGAAAAAAAAATAACAAAAAACAAAACAACTAAAAATAACAACTATATATGGATTATAGTAAACTGTAGTTAATAGTCAAATTTTTGATACATTTCATAACAAATATACGATATATACATATATATATATATATTTATGTATGCAGACATACATTATACGATACTATGCAAATATGCTTAGGCATATAATACATATACGGATATATATATATAAATATATATATAACTGTGCTTTTTATAAAGTAAGTTTTTGTAGTTAAAAACAAAACAAAAAACAATATTGCAACAAAAATGAATCTAAGAAAACTGATTAAGCGTAAAATTAATATTTAAGCGCAAGTTGAGCAGAAAGATGAAGAAAGCAACAACAATAACATCTACAACAACAATTGCGGCATATTTTATAGTTTAGAATTTTACGTGCTTAGTTTAAGTTTTGTGATTTATTGTTTAAACATTATTTTTTGCGATCTGTATGCATCGCAATTTCTTTTTTATTTTTAACCAAAACACATATTATTATTTTGCGTTTTTAGCATATATCTACATATGCTTTAAATTTTTAATGGATTCTTAATTTTTAAACAAACAAAAATACTTCAAAACATGCTTTGCGACGAATATATACACATATATATATTTTATCTAATTTTATGAAAAGTTTTACTTAATTAATTTTAAAAGCTCGCCTAAGCCACAAATACGAAAAGAAAATATACAAATAAAATGTATTATGAAAATAATATTTTTAATCTTTTTTGTTTGAATTTTGATTTGTTAATATTTATATAATTTTATTACTTTGGATTTTTATTATTTAAATCTTGTATTATAGTATAATATTTGATTATATTATTATTATAGATATGGTAAAGGATTGATATGATAATATCTGTCATAGTTAGGATTGTTTATAAACTGAATACTTTTTGAATAACTGTGCTTTTCAAGAAATACTTCTCTATAAGCTATTGGCCCATGGCAGCAAAGATAAAGATTTTGCTTGTCCTATTCTTTGTATTACATTTATGTTATTTATCTTTCAGCGCATGCCCACAGTACTCACATAACAACACCAACAACAACAAGAAAAACAATAACAATATATGCAAAAGCCCTCGACTACAAAGGGGCCAGAACTGTATGCACTTGAATTCGGTTTCACAGCCAAAATGTATTTGCGAGCCAAACGAACCGATTCCATTAAAGATTAAAAACAGAACCAAACCGAATGCAACTGAAAACACAAGACTTATAAAAATAAATATATGTATTGAAATCGATAACGATAAACTCACTGCAAATCGATCACCAAAGAAATCAAATGCAAACACAGCCAGAAATCAAATCAGCTAAAAATTAAAACCAAATAAATATATATATATATTATATATATACATAATACTATATGAAAATTGAGTACGTTTTATACAAATTTTGATACAGTTTTGATAGCAATGCCGCTTAGTCTGACATGCGTTGATATGTCTAGCTTGTAAGTTCCATAACTACCAACTATATATATATACTATATATATATAGTAGATATATAGCATTAATATGCATGATAGCTATATACACAAACGCATAAAGTTATGAGTTGTACGTCCATAATCCAAAAGATTTCCGGTTTATTTGCTGTGTTTTTAAGTAGACCTATCTCCTACGATATATATCGGTCTATATATATACACACTCACGCACACACACATTCTCAATAATACCTATAGAACATATATAAATACTCCGCTTAGTTAACTTATTGCGCCTATGCATATAGAACTATAATTATATATATATATACCGATTTACATAAATCCACATCTATCGCAAAGATTACCGTAAGCCCATTACAACCGAAAAAATCATCAACGTGATATTGCTACTTAATAAAAATAAAAGAATATGAAAATAAATGATCCTAAATATGTGTGAAAATGTTTTCAGTGTAAAGAAAATTTGCTGCTAAGAAAAAAGTTTGTATTTTGTATACCCTATTAGTATATATCGCTTCAAAATTTGTATACTCTTTGCTCGTTTTAAAGCTCGCCTAATGTAGCAAGTTCGCCTTGCTCTGTGATTCTCATGAAGTATGGTTTTGAGTTTTTCATTCTGGAAACTGCCCAGAACCTAACCCAAGAATTCTGGGTCGTTCTTTTTGCTTTATAGAGATTGGATTAAATATTTTTGGTAAAGCTGTGAAAATATTTTCGTGTTGCTCATATTGAACTTCCAAAAGTAGACTCCATGATATGAAGCAATATGTTAAGGTTTCCTTAGCATACTTAAGAGATCTATGTGAAACAACAAAACAGTTTGAGTACTTAATTTTCCTTATGAAAAAACTAACAGGAAAAGCTTTTGAAGTAAAGTTCGAAATATGTATGGAAACTTTGTGTGGAATCTTACAAACATAGATAAGTCTCTATCAATCAATTTGTTTGTTCACTTGACTATATAATATATATTTAAAAGAATTTTGATAGCCAGCTTAAATGCATCTACTTGAACAGATGTTATATTCAGAGTCTCTGAATGTCGCTCAGTGATCATGAATATATAATATTTAATCTTTAGAAAAAAATTATTGTAAACAATCTGATTGTGCGTAGATTATCAGCTTAGTTTATAATGCCAAGGCGAGAATGAGCTAAGACAGTTTGTATAGAAAATGCTTTCAGCTGGGTGCGAGCGATCAGTTTTATTTAGTGTAAATGCTCACTGAAGCTATTTACATTGCAAAATTCTAAATCGCTAATAGCGAAAAATGATCTTATATGGTTTTGGGTTTACGCTCCATTTGCCGCATGTGTGGGTGAAGGTTGTCCGTCTGAATCTCTGTGTGTGTGTGCGACCGCAGCAGCAAGAATGATGATTATATAACAACAATAAGAGACGGCATTGTTGAAGCGCCATAAACGGCTGGGTCGATGAGTAAAACCTAAACGAATTTATCGCAATTCAATGAGCCATTAAACAATTCACAATTTGCAAAGGAAATGTGGGCGAATCTAGATAAAAATATATACAGCCAGAATTTGCAGCGAAGGTCTAAGTAATTGAATAAACTGAAACCGTTAAGAAGTGGACGCAGAAAAGTTCATTAACTGTCGTTGCTTCGCAAGGCGCCAACGTCAGGCAGGTTGCATATTAAATATAATTGCAGCTGTTAAGTTGGCTGTTATTTAACAGCTGCACTGTTAACAGACACAGAATTCCTCAATAGTGGGCCTACTAACGCTGCTGCTGTGGAATGAATTTTATATGAAAGCGCGCAACATTGGCATTAAATTTTTATTTTTATTTTTATTTAAAATATTGCTATTAAGAACTCAAACGCATATTCAAAGCTCAGTTTATGCCAGCCGCAATCAAACTTCGGATATCAGTTCAGATGGCAACATAAATGCTAATAAAGCTGCCGCTGTTATAGTTTACATGTTCGCTGCTGTTATAGCTGCAGTTAAAGCTGCTGCTGTTATGCCTTACACTAGAGCTGAAGCAGTTCAAGCTGGCGCTGTTATTGTTTACATGAGCGCTGCCGTTGCCTCTTGCTGCCGTTATGGCTGCTAACTATAACAGTCTCTGCTAAGGCTTACATGATTGCCGCTGTTATTGCTGCTATTGGTGCCGTCATTACAGCTGCTGCTATTTCCGCTGCTGTTCGATGTTATTCAAACCAAAAAGGTAACCGACAACAACTTGGCGCTCAGTTTGTGTGCAGCAGCGCTCGAGTGCGTTACGTTTGAAAGCAAAGTTATAGAAGCCATTAATATCCAAATACCGAAACACGAATCACGAACAAAAAAAAAAATAACAAAATAGTTGAATCGTAATTTATTTGATTTTTGGCAATTTCTACTATTTCAATTTACCGTGCGCTCCAACAGCGCGACAGCTGTTACTTTAACTCAATTAACGATCACCGAACAACGAAAACAAAATACTCCCCTCCTTCCTCTCCATTTACCGTCGCCCCCAAATCACCCACAATTGAAATCGTTCGCGTTGTGTTGTTGCTGTGCTTTTTTGGCAACGTCTAGTCTAACGCAGATGTTTTGAAAGTCCTGCCGCACAGGCTGTAAAGCAACAAGGACTGTTTGCCTTTGAAACGGCTAGCCCGGCGCTAGCTGAAAGTTTTTTATTGTGCAAACCAAAGTTGAAAAAGTTGAAAGTTGAAACAGACAACGAAGGCGCAGACTAGAGCCTGTGGGTAAGTGAGGCGTCATCGCTATCTAGCCTGTGACTGTGAGTGTGACTGTGACTGTGACTGTGACTGTGACTTTGACTGTGACTGTGTGATTGTGTGACTGTTCTATTGGCATTGCGTGTCGTTTGCTTATCCTGACCTAAAAGTTCATTGACTGACTGAAAGTTGTGGCAGGAAGCCCGTTGCTCGTTGCACGTTGGCACGACTGTGTCTGTCTGTATTGGCATTTTGTGGCAACTACGCCCCTGGAACAGCTGTTCCTTGGCCATTGGCATTGTTTTGTCAATGGCTGTATTGATGTCACACGGCTGCACGGTGCCACAAGTGGCAACCGCGGAAGCCTTTCAGCACTCTTGTATTAGTACTTAGCCGTATCAAGCCCTATGACATCAGCTCTATCAGAGCGCAAACCGGTCGACTTTGCGTCTATTTCCAACTCTTTTTTCAAAGCCACTGATTATGAGAGCTAAACAACAATAGCACGAACAAAAATTAAATTACCAAAGTTAAAAGAGAAGTAGAAAAACCTGGAAGCAAAATGTACAAAAAATGTATACAAGCCACGACTGGTAGATACCCTGTACATTGCTACAAGCTAATATTATTTTCTATATTTGCTCATATGTTTGTATTCTTAAAGATTCTACTAAGTGTGTGTTTTGATGACCCAGAATATACCTCTTAATTTTTGATTATTAATAGGGTATACAATAAGTTTTATTTTTAAAAAATCGAACTGAACAAGCGCCACAAATTAGATTAAAAAATTACATGTTTAAAGTTTTACTTAGTATCATAAAAGAAATATTATAAATAATTAAATAATTTAGCAATCGATATTTATCGATTTTATAGAAGACAGACAGATTTATTCGCAAAGTGAACCAAGTCAGAGCTGCATTTGGCATTCGTTCAATTAAATACTTAAAATTCTATATATAGCCATTAAGTTCTTAGACAAATGCCTAAAAAACTCAGTGAGTAATCGATAATTATCGTTGGTTTAGCCTACATAGAGGTGTCTTAGTGCAGTTGCTTTGCAGTTTTAACTGATTTAGTATATGAACATGTATCAAATGGCACTTGCTTTAATTTATCTGTTACCAAATCAATGCCATTTTAATCTACCCTATTTAGCGAAAACTTTCGCAGGGTGTGCAAAAAGCAGCACACAAATTATGAATATTTGTGGCTTTGTAAATGCAAAAAATAAATATTTATTAAATGATATAACAGGCAAAGCTCAGGCAACTGTTAGTCAGAGCGCTGTTCCCAAGACCCCAGGCCATAATTTGTTCAAAACGACACCAAAAATGTGTTTACCAATTACAATAACCAACAAAGCTGGTGTTTAACAAATGTAACAACCGCTCATCGACTCTTAGATCTGGGCAGGAATTCAAGTGTTTTTGCTCACTCAGGAGCTGATTTCCAGCTTTCACTTGGCAAAGTTATCGCAGTCGCTTCAGAGAAGCACAGAAACACGTTTCCAAAATCTAATTAGATTTTGAGAACAAACTAGTTCACATACACACACACACACACACACACACACACACACACACACACTCAGACAGTTGACGTCAGTTTGTTTTTGTCTATTCTTTTTATCACTTTGTGCTTTTTCACTGCTTTTGGTCTAAACACTTTTGGCAACCAACTCTATTTGATAGTCGTTGTAATATAGAGATGGGTAGAACAGTTTTTCGACTAGATATGTAACGCTACGAGCTTAGACCTATGAGCACCTAGCAGCCACTCGAGCTAGCCTTATGAAACTTGGTAGAGATATTGCTTTAAGTAGCAGAAGCTGCTTATATCGAAATGTTATATTATATATTTTTATATATGATCTTTATAGTGATTATAACTATCAGAACTGAGTTCGCCTTGGGACTATCTTTATGAAATTTGGTATAGATGTTGCTATTGGTAGCAGACCTATGCATATATCGACATTTATCTTGTAACTTATATGATTTTCATAGTGATTATAACTATCTGAACTGAGTTAGCAGTGAAGCTATATTTATGAAATTTGGTATAGATGTTGCTATCGATAACAATAGATGCATATATCGAAATTGATTAAATCGTACAACTATTCCTTACTCATTTGCTGATATAGTGAGTATGCCTATATGAACTCAGTGCTCACTGAAGTGTTAGGCATAAAACTGTAGTATTTATAGCTGTAAATATATGTATTGATAAAGGGGTTGTCAAACAGTTATAGAGCTGCTATGAGGCCTGTACCTTGGTGAATTGAGCTTCTCATACAACTATCTCTATACCTATCTATCGCTCTATCTCTCTAGCTTATAGCAACTGGTGCCTAAAAAACTCTCTACAAGCTAACCAATCCGTCTAGCTGAATTCTTCTTAATAGAGTATTTAATGTTCGGCATGCTGCACACATATTTAGCTTTTCTTGTTGATATTTCTATTTGTTGCCGATGTCTTGTTTTGGCTTCGGCTTGCGGCGTGTTTTGCTGTTAATTAAACATGTTGATTGCTGCGATAGCTGTTGTTGTACCACTAACTGGGCAAATACCAAAAAAGAGTTGTAGAAAGAGAGCGAGAGAGGGAGAAGTGGTAAGCGTAACAGTTGTAGCCAAAAAAAAAAATATGAATTTCGATTGAGAGACAAATCGCAGTTACGTGTGTGGGCGCCGTCTGGCGACCCATTTGGCGCTCGAGCCGCTTTTTGGACAACTCAATGTGGGCTAAAGGAAATGGCCAAGACAGACAAGTCGTCAGCCATTTATCTGGTCATATTTGGGCGTAAAAGTTGTCTCTAAATGCTGGAAAATGAGCTCATTTCGTATCATTTCATTTTGTTCATTTTTTTTTGGCAATTTGGAGAGCGTGAAATGTGCCCATTATGAATAACAGCAACAAAAAGTTATTATTTATTATAGAATCAGAGTTGACAGAGTCTACTTCGGGTCACAGCGTAGTCAACTGTTGGCAGACAATAGAAAATTAATCAAACTGAAAATCTGCATTGAAATTTTCTATGACATTTAATTGCTTGTCAGCTTTCAACTGAAATTAATGATGGCATATACCCATCTCGTGATCATATGAGTGAGGGTATGCGGCTAATTGAGAATTTCTATATGAGAAGAAGCAGAAGAAGATGAACTGCTTCTTTCTTTTCCCGTGGGCTACAAGGTATTTAGATTTTTTTTTGCAATTTCCGCTAGACTCACGACTAACTGTTGAGCAAAAGTTTGAACAAATATTTGCAGCTCGAGAGTTTTAGAATATGCTTTGAAGTAGAAGTTGTTTCAGCTGTTAATAATATATATTTCTATCTAGAACTGATTCCATTTCCTCTCTCAGCTCTCGCTGAACAATGGCTTAAATCTATATCAAGTTTCATGTAGCCCTCAGAGCAAGTCTTCATTCAGAAGCTGTTGAACTTATAATAAAATGGGAAGGTGAACAAGTTCTCTGCGGATTAGCTCAGCAACTGTAATGACACTATAAGACTTAGCTCTAATACATCACACCATCTAACTAGAATATATAAAAAAATTAAATATATATATGTGTTTAGGGCATTAAGATTTCGGCTAGCCAAAATTAAATTTGTGCTTTATTCTCTTGTTAGTTAATATCATAAATTGATGCTGACGTGTGCCAGGCTTTGTTTGGCTATTGTATTACTTAGTTGTTGTTATTGACACTCATGCAAAGCGAGTGTGCGTGTGTGTGTGTGTGTGTGAGTGCGCAAAAAAGTGCGAGTTCAAAGTTGGCATCATCTATCAAGATCTCCGTAACATTAGCATAGTGTCATGCAACGAAAATAGCCGCCTGACAGGTTTCTGCGGTCGCCTTCGCCACACGAACAAATTGTGTAGCAATAGAGGAGGAAGGGGGATGAGGCACTTGGGGGGAGTCAGGTAAATGTGGGCGTGCGCTCAATTCCAATCAATTTCAATAAGCTCAATTGGCAAGCGAACCGGTTGCTGACCTGGCCGCCACTCTGCTTGCTGATAAACTATCAGCAGCACCATCTAGAAATTGTTGTGTGTCGCACCTGCTCACAGGTGAGCGACCAATCTTGCCATCAAATGCACGTGCGACACTGCAAGAAAGTTTTAGTGGGCAACTTTGAATGGGCATGAACGAAATATAAAGTATAAAGTGGTATATGCATGCTTATGTTAATTTAATATAAATAATTAAAATAAAATATTAATTTATTTTATGTTAATTTAATATAAATAATTAAAATAATATATTAATTTATTTTACGTTAATTTAATATAAATAATATTAAAATAAAATATTAATTTCTTTTATGTTAATTTAATATAAATAATTAAAATAAAATATTAATTTATTTTATGTTAATTTAATATAAATAATTAAAATAAAATATTAATTTATTTTATGTTAATTTAATATTAATAATTAAAATAAAATATTAATTTATTTTGTTAGTTTAATATAAATAATATTAAAATAAAATATTAATTTATTTCTTGCTAATTTAATATAAATAATTAAAATACAATAATAATTTATTTTATGTTAATTTAATATAATAATTATAATAAAAAATTAATTTAATGTTAATTTAATATAAATAATTAAATTAAAATTAATTAATTTTCTTTAATTTTTTTTCTTTAATTAAAGATCAAATTTTTAATTTTAATAACTATTAAAATAAAGTTAACGCTTCCGATCTGACTGGGTTTCGAACCAGGACCCGCTCGCTCACTGTGCGAACGCCTTAGCACTCAGCCACGCCCATAAGAGCGTTTGATTGTCTATCTATATATAAAAGCTGTTTTAAGAATTCTTTTTCACTCTTTTTTCTTTCCCACTTTTTCGCTGTGTAACCCCGTTAGGTGGTCAAGCATTGCATGTGCAGTTGATTAATTTGATTAAGTGCGACTAAGTTGGCTCGCGATTTTAGGCCAAAAGCAAATTAAGATTAATAAGTTGTTGGCAGGCAACATTGAGACATTGCCACGCAAATGTCTGCCGGCAGTCAGACACAGAAGCTGATTCATCAGTCGGGCGAGCAGTCGAGCAGTCGAGCATTGGCCATATATGGCGTAGGCAGCTTTGATTGATCTATGATGTTGCATCCGCGCGTGGGTGTCAGCTCGTCGATGATGTAAGATTCTCTTGGTTCTAGTGGCGCATATGGTCACCATAATACTACATGCCACATATATATATTTATTTATATAATAAAGCAAGAGCCAACTGAAAATGAACATGTTTCAATTGCGTGCGAGGTCGCGAGGCGCAAACACGCCCACTTTTTAGCCTCAATTTGAACAGCTTTGCTTTATATAAAAGCCAGCTAGCTCTCTTCCTCGCCCAACTGCCTCTGTCATTGCTGACTGGCAGTTAGTGTGCCGTCACGCCCACCCAGAAATTGGCTCAACTATATTTACATAGAGCCGAGCTGTTGATTTCACGGTCAAAGAAGTTGCACGCTTTGGCTGCCACTGCCACAGCTACAGCTGCTTGGGCTTCGGCTCGGTCTTGCTGTTGGTCTTGGCATACAGTTACTGTAGCTGCGCCTAGAGGTGAGCGCGTGAGCAGACGATCTTGAATGTATTATCAAGGTATCATTGTGATGAGTACTTCTGAGTTATGTTGCCTCGCAATGAGTTGTTGAGCCACTCGTGTTGAGGTGTGTTTAAAGTCCTATTGAATCCTGTTGGTCGTCCGATGAGCTGACTTGAGTTATAGTAAACTCTTGCTGCCATAATGTCATTTATAGCGCCCTAACTAGTGGCTACTTGTAGCTTCTCTTTTAAAGTCGAGCTGAGGGTAAAATTGTTGTGATAGATCGGGTCTGTTCGGCTCTTTTCCCATCTGCTCGTGGAGAGCCATGTCCAGTCGTAGTGAGATCTGCTCGTTCTGTTCTCGCCTACTCTACCCTACTCCTGCTCACTCATAGCAATATCGTGCTCTCTTAGTCGTGTTTTTTCACATCTTAGCCCAGACACGAATTTGCAAGATTTTCAATTTGCATTGCCGCGTCACGCGCTCAGCTCGAATTTTCAGTTAGCAGTTCAGTTTTCGTGGCATGCAATTGTCGCTCCATAAGTCATTAAAAGTAATCGTTTTGTTGGCCCAACATGCGCCAAATGGGCAACATTAGCACTTTGCATACTTTTTGGAGGCGCAACCTTGTTGCCTTCGACCGTGTTGACCAGGGCGCGCGAGCAGCCGTCACTGCTGACGTTCAATTGCGTTAGCTAATCGCTGCTAAAGCCAATTGGGGTCGTCATCGCCAAGTATCGATTACGCTGCGACGTCGCTGCCTGTCACCAGAGCTAAGTTCAGCTGAGCGGCGCTGACAAGGCGAAAAGCTATCAGACATCAGGTATTGGCTTTCGCGCCTGCCGGCAGGCAACACTTTCCAAAAGAAGGTCACGGCTTGAAAAGCCTGCCACAAACTCAGACTTTTTGTCCATTTCTGTGTCTTTTATTGTTTGTCTTGGCGTGAGCCAACGAATCAGACGTCAACCACCCCAAGCCAAAATTTTGTGCTGCTCTGGCCCAGAAAATTCGAAACAAATAAATCGCTCACATTTTGTGTAAGTTTTGGGTTCGCTTGCGCAATACCCTGCACTGACCGATGAAGAAATGAGTCCTTATAGATTGATAAATTATATGTTGTTATCTGTTTCTAAAGATGTTTTTGCCAATTACCATAAAGAGCTAAAGTCTTCAAGCTTATAAATGGAATTGTGCTACGATTCAGCTTATCTCAGCTAATATTAGAGACTATGAGCCGCACCGGGTATTTACGAGTCGAGCACACTCAACTAGGCTTGTTGGACTTGTGCTTATGGATTTTACGTCATTGATTTGATGTTAATATAAGCATTTGGCTTATTAGGTTACTACAAGCCCTACTACTACAACACTAAAACTGAAGTTTGTTTGTGTTTATTTTTCGTTTAATTTTCGTCTAATTCCAAAGCCAAAAGAGGCCCGAATCGTCTACAGAGACACCCCTTTGTGCGTCAAGAACTGCAGCGAAATGAATAAGACCGTGCGAAACGCAATGCCATTGGCTGTGAATACTCAGTGTATATGTGATTTTACTTGCAGGTTGGCTTTCGTAAGTACATTTATAAGAAGAAGAAGATTACGGGTCCCTGTGCACCGGTACGGGTAATACGTACACTCAATATGGCCGGCAATATCGAGCAGCGTCCCTGGACGCCGACCGTGCGCACGCGTCGAATTGCGGCGGAGACGAGCAATCCGGGTCCGGCTATTGTGCAGCTACCCACGTTGATCGGTGAGTTGTAGACAGTGTCTAGGAGTGCGCTCTCGTGACTGATCCACCTTGCCACCACCATGCAGGCAGCAAGGTGCCGGACTCGAAGAAGAAGGGCGCGCCCTCATATTCCTTTGGCCATAAGACGGTCAGCAAGGATGAAACAACTGGTCCCGGTCCCGCCCTGTACAATGTGGCGGGTATGGTGCCCAAGGGCAAGGAGTACCCACGTGCAGCCACGTTACAAAGTCGTCCCAAGGAGCTGTCGCGTTTCGTCAATCCGGGCCCTGGGGAATATGATGTGCTGAATGCATCGAAGGCTGTCATCGATGCCACGCCCAAATATACATTCGGCAAGAGGCCGCCCCATATCAAGTACCAGCTGATACCGGGTAAGTCGCAACGGTCCCGGGTCCCGAAGTCCCGAAGTCCCGATTACCCGAACAGTGTTCAAGCGTTTGTTGGTTGCTTTGTGTTTTGGTGTTCTTGTTGGTTGTTTGAATGGTTTTTGGTCAATGGTTTGGTTGCATGCGCATCATTAACGCTAATGGATTTAATGGAGTTGAAGAGGCATCATCCAGCATCAAGCATCAAGCATCAAGCTACATCTGGAGGCAGACGCATCCAATCCATGTTGTATATATATAAGAAATCATTTTGAATAATAATATTCCATGAAAGAATCATCTGAGCAGCGCGTAAGTAATCGCTGCATACGATTTGAGAGCAAGCGCTCTCTCTCTCTCTCTCTCTCTCTCTTTCACTTACACTCTCTCTCTCTCTCGCTGTTCTGCATTGCCTCTCGCTGTATGTCTTTTACTCTGTAGTCACGTAGCTGTAGCTGCTTGCTTCATGTTAGCATATTTGTCGCGCTCTCTTATAAGTAGTTTCTCTCTCTCTCTCTTGTTTCTCTCTCTTTTCTCTCTCTTTTGTAGCATAGTTGCTTAAAAGATTGCCGCAGCTGTACCAAAAACCTAATGTATCTAATTTCGTAATGCTTATTTGTTTATGTAGAATTAACATATAAAGTTGAAGGTACAAGTGTACCAAGAGCTTAATGTACCTATTTCCTTTTTGTTGTAATGTATGAATCTTTTTAGCGAAGTCTTAGACCAGGTCAAGCGCGAGTGTACCAAAAACGAAATGTACCTATTTGTTCATATATTATATGAATACATTTCTAACTCTTGTTTGTTGTAGTGTAGCTTTTTTAAATATTGGTACACAGTTTTTTGTATATAATGTGTGTATAAATTGTAGGTACAATTGTAATAGCTATATAATTTACCAATTTTTTATATTTAAAAAACATTTTTATTTTTATATTATTTTTGGTTCTTTATATACATTTATATCTCAGTAAAATGTCTTTGTTTTTATGTATATTTTCAAAATATTTGATAGCATAGTAGTAGTAGTAGTAGTAGGTACATTTCAATCAAGTTTCGGGTACACATTCATTTGCGCAGGTGGCAATTGAGCGACTCTCTATGCTTCTCTCGTTTATTGATTGTTGAATTCTCTTGTCGAACTCTTCCTCTCTCTCACTCTCTCTCTCTTGTATTATACCCACATAGCTCTACCGTAGTGTTTTGTTGTTTTATTTGTTCAATGTTTTATTTCTGTTTTTTTTTTCTTTTTAAATTTATCTTAATTGAATTGTTTTTCTTCTTTGATTAAATTGACCCAACCACCGACTGTCTACACGTACAACAATTTTAGGTCCCAACCATTATCAAGTGGTGCCGCTTGATGTCATTAAGCCGCGCGCGCCTCGTTATTCCTTTCGCATTAAGGTTAACGTTTACCTAGTTAACAATCCAGGTAACACAACTAACTGGCTAACATTATGCAGTTAACCCAGTTAATATGCAATAACACGAATCTCTCTTGCATGTGCTCATTCTCTCTCTTTCTCTTTCTCTCTGTGTGTTCTCTCTATCACTTTTGGTTTTGGTATGGAGCATTTTTCTACTAGTCCGTTAGGCACTTTGCAACACTCGTAACTCGTAACTCGTAACTTCCAACCTCATTTTTTGCAGTATAACCCATCACTAGTTGCATTTCGTTCAATAGTCTAAACAAATCGAAATATCGTTATCCGTACAAAAATGATTTTGTTTTATTAACACTAACAGCGCCAAATAGCTATTGTCCTGAAAAGGTCACGCAATCAAGAAACAATTCGCCACGTTTCACATTTGGTAGACGAACTAAAATCCAACACGATCAGCATACACCAGGTAATATGTTGTTGTAACCCACCCCCAAACCCCCAACCCCCCCAACCCAAACGCAGCAAAACGAGGCACTCGTAGTACTCTAGTTAGAAATTTGGTTTTAGAACTTACCACAGCATTAAGCACACGCCACGCGTTCGGGGTTGTAATATCTATATGTCTATCCCACAGCTCCTGGCGCCTATTCACCTGAGAAGGTGAATCTCAGCAAGACACCAGAATTTAGCTTCGGCATCAAACATCACGAGCTGCGCCCTGACTATACGCCAGGTTTGTAGATACACTAAGAAAAATTCAAATAAATTTGCTTTCTCAATGTACGCTGTTAAATAATATTTAGCTGCACTAGAATTACCATTCAGCTAAGCCTCATGTCAGTACTCATCCTACTGTCAAACTGTCTGCTAAGTCTCTTGCCAGAAAGAGACTACAATAAACTTGCAGAGATATATAGGCTATCTGATCATCCAGTATATTGAGTAAAGCACTAGTATATATCTCGTTTCGTTCGCTTATGTCCCTCACCTGACACCCTTTTGCAGCACCTGGTACTTACAAGCCGGAGCAAACAGTTCTAGAGCATACACCTGCCTATAGTTTTGGTCTAAGGACGAAGCACGTTCAGCACAACGATTCGCCAGGTGGGCAGTAGTTAGCTTCAAACTTCTTCTAATCCGAATTAAATCATATATTTTTTTTGCTAGCACCTGGCACTTATAGCCCAGAAAAGTCAAAATTGCATGCGGCACCCGCTTTTAGCATTGCCGGCAAGTCCAATCACGATGTGGTGGATGCTACGCCAGGTAAGTCGCTTCGACCCATACACTACCAGCACTTTGGGCACTTTTCTTATTCAGCAGTTAATCGAATACAACTGTCCTTTAATCTGTATTTCAGCACCCGGCGCATACGAGCCGGAGAAATGCATTTTAGGAAAGACACCCGCCTTTACGTTCGGCCAACGTGTGCAGGTCGTCAAGTCACAGGATACCCCCGCGCCCGGCACCTACCAGCCGGAGAAAGTGCGCTTGGATTATGCGCCCGCTTACACGCTCTCTGGTCGACATGAATGGAAGTCGGTTAGCACTACCCCAGCGCCAGGCTCGTACGCCCCGGAAAAATATCGCAGCGACCATACGCCAGCGTTTAGCTTCGCTGGTAAGCATGAGCATCGCATTGAAACCTCCACCCCGGCACCAGGCGACTACAGTCCTGAAAAAGTACGGCACGATCATAATCCTGCTTATTCATTTGCCGGGCGGCACGATGCACTGAAGACGAGCGACACACCAGCACCTTGCGCCTATGAGACAGAAAAGGTGCGACTAGACCATAATCCCGCGTTCTCCTTTGCCGGCCGTCATGATCTTCATAAGCCAAGTGATACCCCTGCCCCTGGAGCCTATTCTCCGGAGAAGGTCCGTCAGGATCACAATCCTGCATTCTCCATGGCGGGCAAGCACGATGTGAAGATCACAAATGGCACACCTGCTCCAGGAGATTACTCGCCAGAGAAAACCCGGTTGGATCATACACCTGCTTATTCCTTCGGTAGCAAAAATGATCCCAAGGTTGAGAATAATACCCCTGCTCCTGGTGATTACCACCCTGAAAAGGTCAGACTCGACCACAATCCTGCATTTTCCTTCGCTGGTCGCCATGATCTTCACAAACCGAGCGATACCCCTGCTCCAGGTGCCTATTCTCCGGAGAAAGTCCGTCAGGATCACAATCCTGCATTCTCCATGGCGGGCAAGCACGATGTGAAGATCACAAATGGCACACCTGCTCCAGGAGATTACTCGCCAGAGAAAACCCGGTTGGATCATACACCTGCTTATTCCTTCGGTAGCAAAAATGATCCCAAGGTTGAGAATAATACCCCTGCTCCTGGTGATTACCACCCTGAAAAGGTCAGACTCGACCACAATCCTGCATTTTCCTTCGCTGGTCGCCATGATCTTCACAAACCGAGCGATACCCCTGCTCCAGGTGCCTATTCTCCGGAGAAAGTCCGTCAGGATCACAATCCTGCATTCTCTATGGCTGGCAAACACGATGTGAAGATCACAAATGGCACACCTGCTCCAGGAGATTACTCGCCAGAGAAAACCCGACTGGATCATACACCAGCTTATTCCTTTGGAGGAAAAAACGATCCTAAAGTAGAGAACCATACCCCTGCTCCTGGTGATTACCACCCCGAAAAAGTCAGACTAGATCATAATCCTGCTTTCTCCTTCGCTGGTCGCCATGATCTTCACAAACCGAGCGATACCCCTGCTCCAGGTGCCTATTCTCCGGAGAAAGTCCGTCAGGATCACAATCCTGCATTCTCCATGGCGGGCAAGCACGATGTGAAGATCACAAATGGCACACCTGCTCCAGGAGATTACTCGCCAGAGAAAACCCGGTTGGATCATACACCTGCTTATTCCTTCGGTAGCAAAAATGATCCCAAGGTTGAGAATAATACCCCTGCTCCTGGTGATTACCACCCTGAAAAGGTCAGACTCGACCACAATCCTGCATTTTCCTTCGCTGGTCGCCATGATCTTCACAAACCGAGCGATACCCCTGCTCCAGGTGCCTATTCTCCGGAGAAAGTCCGTCAGGATCACAATCCTGCATTCTCCATGGCTGGCAAGCACGATGTGAAGATCACAAATGGCACACCTGCTCCAGGAGATTACTCGCCAGAGAAAACCCGGTTGGATCATACACCAGCTTATACCTTTGGAGGAAAAAACGATCCTAAAGTAGAGAACCATACCCCGGCTCCTGGTGATTACCACCCCGAAAAGGTCAGACTAGATCATAACCCTGCTTTCTCCTTCGCTGGTCGCCATGATCTTCACAAACCGAGCGATACCCCTGCTCCAGGTGCCTATTCTCCGGAGAAGGTCCGTCAGGATCACAATCCTGCATTCTCCATGGCTGGCAAGCACGATGTGAAGATCACAAATGGCACACCTGCTCCAGGAGATTACTCGCCAGAGAAAACCCGGTTGGATCATACACCAGCTTATACCTTTGGAGGAAAAAACGATCCTAAAGTAGAGAACCATACCCCGGCTCCTGGTGATTACCACCCCGAAAAGGTCAGACTAGATCATAACCCTGCTTTCTCCTTCGCTGGTCGCCATGATCTTCACAAACCGAGCGATACCCCTGCTCCAGGTGCCTATTCTCCGGAGAAAGTCCGTCAGGATCACAATCCTGCATTCTCCATGGCTGGCAAGCACGATGTGAAGATCACAAATGGCACACCTGCTCCAGGAGATTACTCGCCAGAGAAAACCCGGTTGGATCATACACCTGCTTATTCCTTCGGTAGCAAAAATGATCCCAAGGTTGAGAATAATACCCCTGCTCCTGGTGATTACCACCCCGAAAAGGTCAGACTCGACCACAATCCCGCGTTCTCCTTTGCCGGCCGTCATGATCTTCATAAGCCAAGTGATACCCCTGCCCCTGGAGCGTATTCTCCGGAGAAGGTCCGTCAGGATCACAATCCTGCATTCTCCATGGCTGGCAAGCACGACGTGAAGATCACATGTGGCACACCTGCTCCAGGAGATTATTCACCTGAGAAAACCCGGTTGGATCATACACCCGCCTATACCTTTGGAGGAAAAAACGATCCCAAGGTTGAGAATAACACCCCTGCTCCTGGTGATTACCACCCCGAAAAGGTCAGACTAGATCATAACCCTGCTTTCTCCTTCGCTGGTCGCCATGATCTTCATAAGCCAAGTGATACCCCTGCCCCTGGAGCGTATTCTCCGGAGAAGGTCCGTCAGGATCACAATCCTGCATTCTCCATGGCTGGCAAGCACGATGTGAAGATCACAAATGGCACACCTGCTCCAGGAGATTACTCTCCAGAGAAAACCCGACTGGATCATACACCTGCTTATTCCTTCGGTAGCAAAAATGATCCTAAAGTAGAGAACCATACCCCGGCTCCTGGTGATTACCACCCCGAAAAGATCAGACTAGATCATAACCCTGCTTTCTCCTTCGCTGGTCGTCATGATCTTCACAAACCGAGCGATACCCCTGCCCCTGGAGCCTATTCTCCGGAGAAAGTCCGTCAGGATCACAATCCTGCATTCTCTATGGCTGGCAAGCATGACGTGAGGATTACAAATGGTACTCCGGCACCTGGAGACTATTCGCCTGAGAAGACGCGACTGGATCAGACACCCGCTTACACATTTGGTGGCAAATACGACCCCAAGGTGGAAAATCATCATCCAGCGCCATGCGATTATTCGCCCGAAAAAGTTCGCCTTGACCATACTCCCGCCTACACAATTGCAGGTCGTCCGACCATTGAGCATATTAGCCAGACTCCGGCGCCCTGTGACTACAAGCCAGAGAACTACCAGCTAGATGCTACACCAGCCTTCACCTTTGGCATGAAGCTGAAACGGGAGCATGTCAGTGATACACCAGGTAAATTAATAACTAAATACTTATCATATGTGAACCAGTAGAACAAGTAGAAAAGCATCTATATATAAAATCGATCACTTGATAAAATTCCAGCACCCACTGCATACGAACCGGAAAAGCACACTCAACACACTCCAGCCTACACATTCGGCACTCGAACTGAGATCAAGGTCTCCACCGATGCACCCGGTAAAGAACAATTTGATAGAACTACCATTGACCCTAGGCCTAAGTCCAGTACTTGCATGTTTCTTACTCTGTATGTTATATTTGTATATGAATGTTTTGTGTCTGGCATCGTGTCACGTCTGGTTCATAGCTCCCGGCCATTATCATCCAGAGCACTGTAAGCTCGACAGCTCGCCAGCATATAGCTTTGGTCTTAAGACCTTACCCATGCCGCTCATTCCAGGTAGGTGCAAATCTTTGTCTTTGTGCTCAGCCTTGATCCGGTGTTGGCTTCAATATTATTTTGGCTTCGCATGTGTTGAGCCCCTTGCAGAATATATCGTTAAAAGCTCTATATTTTTGGTTGCTATACAATTTTAAAACTTAATTTTTTTAAAAAATACTTTTCTGCATGATTTTATTATACCCTGATCCCATTGAAAATGGGAAATCAGGGTATAATGGTTTTGTGCAAATATATGTAACAGGTAGAAGAAGGCGTGGAAGACCCCATAAAGTATATATATTCTTGATCAGGACAACAAGCCGAGTCGATTGAGCCCTGTCAGTCTGTATATAGCACGCGCAGGTCAAGCTTTCTTCAAATATTCGATAACTATTCGCATTTAATTGTTATCGAATAAAAACATGATTGAAATGTAGTTAATAAATTATATCTTGGACGTCTTAAGAGCTAGAGCCTCCAAATTTTGTATTTAGTTTTATGTATATTTTATGCAATTTTGATTTTTGTTGGATTTTGGATATCGGCTCCAAATTCCCCCAAATTCTTAAAATTTAAGTTTAGTTGGAACTAGGGCCATTATGTGAAGACGTTTGCATCTCAACTAAGCCAATAGGATATGTAGAGCATATGCTGAAAATTCATTAAAATTCATTAAGGCCAATTTGCAAAAGCACATGTCAGCAGCGCCACGCGCACGCATTTTTCCTATGCGTGTGCACACATACATTCAAATGCGTGTATTCTTTTCTATTCCAAGAATTGAAATTGCGATTGAATTGGGCTGAATTATTAGCTGCTACTTATGTTCAAATTTGCAACAGTTCGCGTAAGAAGGGCAGTGGCTGCGTTGGTAGAGGCGCCGCTCGTACGCAGCTTGGTTCGGGTTCGAGACCAGAGGAGATGAAATTTTTTTTATTGTTTTATTTTTTTTTTTTTTTAGATTTGAAGTGGCGGTGTTGGTAGAGTTTGTGCACGTTGCGCAAATAATCCGGGTTCGAATCCTGGTCTCGCAATGTCGATTTTTATTTGTTTTCTCTTTTTTTTTAATACTCGATACAAACTACGGAAAATATTACAAAACTCAAAGGACTAGGATCAGGGTATCTCCTAGTCTGGCACCCCGACTAGAGCTTTCTTATTTGTTTGACATAGTCTTGTATATATATCTGCAAGGGTATTTAATCTTCGGTCGACCGAAGCTGGCTTTATATATCTTGATTTGCAATTTTATATGTTTATTTCTGTATATCCTATTTGTATACTTTATTTTCCATTATACGTGGTGTCCTGGCCCCATATATATATATATATATATTTCATATGAATTTATGTAAATGGCAATATATATATATATTTTTATATATATAATGTATATATATTCCTATTGTATTCATGAAAATCTGCACTCACTAGAACCTAGAGGCGCTTACATTGAAGATCGCATATTGCAAAGACGTGAAAGACGTTTGGCTAGTCCCGGTAAGCGTATCATCAAAACACTTTCAACACTTCAAGTACATGGCCCTGATATGGTTAATTGCAATTTAAGTTAGCTTAAAATACAATTCGCAACGCTTATCCGCATCGATTTCTCTGTGTCACAAAACGTTTTTATATAGGGCCTTAGTCGACAGATGAGTGTAAGATGAGGTGGTTAGCGAGCGTCAGTTTGGTCTTATGGATCATTTCCTTTTTCGAAGTCGCTGATAACGCAAAATGTAAGTTTCCCTCTGGATATTTCGAACTGCTTACCGCTCTAGGATTCTGATCATTTCGTGTTTGTATCAAGATAATAACGCTTGCTTGGTGAAGAACAAGTACAAGCACGAAAAATTCTGTAACGGTCCACGTCGTACGTACTATGAATTCCATCGCATCATATTGAACTGTGTCGCGGTGTATACCAAATGTCAACCCGTCTACAAGTACAATGAATGGCCATCGATGGATAAATGTCGTCGGGAATGCGCCTATCATATGAAAATCATCGGGCTGCCTCCACTTCCCAATACGACTACAACTAGCACTACACCTGGTAGTGGAGGAGGAGGCCCAGGAGGCGCAGGCGGTGCAGGAGGAGGGAGCGAAGGCACTACTGCAGAGGCTGGCACTACTGCTGCAGGCGGTACTGGCTATACAGCTAATACAGACAGTACTGCCGGTACAGTTGGTACTGGCGCTACAGACGGTACTGCAGATACAGGCGGTACAGACGGTGGAGGCGGGGAAGTAACTCCTGCAGGCGATGCAGCCGGTGATGCTACTCCCGCAGGTGAAGGCGGTGATACTACTGCAGGCGGTGAAGGCGGCGAAGGCGGTGATGCAACTGCTGCAGCAGAAAACGAAGCACCACCTGCCGAAGCACCAGCTGCCGAAGCATGAAGAAGAACACGCAGACTTCGAAAACCTTAATCCAATATGTAGTTTGAAATGCTTAGAGAATCACAATAATATAAATTGGAGCAATCGAGCACCGCTCTAATTAGTAGTATATATTACTGTTCTTAAAGTACTTCAAAATTCTGATTGCCATCTACTGTAGGGATCAAGTACTTGAAGTGTTGAATTAGCTTTTAATGGCAAGGTCAAATACATATATATATATGTTTTGTATATATATTATATATCTATATATATCTATATATAGATAGATTATAATAATGCGATGCATATCAAGCAGCACAAATCAACTAATTGCAATCTGCACCACAGTTCGTAACGCTGTTGATGGCACCGCAAGCACTACCACTACAACCACCACAACAACAACAACCACTGAGAAACGTATTGTAAATGGCGATCAATTGGACAGTCAACACAATCAGAAGACCACAACCACCAACACTGTCGTAGCACCCAACCCACCCAACACCGACAGCAACACTGCCACTAGCAAAACAACAATCACAAAGACAACAACAAAGCTAGTGGGCAACGATCCATCGGCATCGAAATCGAAGTCGAAATCGAGTCGCACCACCACGTTGCACCACTCGGCCAATGCACATAGCAAAGGTGACAATCTGCAGGTCATTGCCAGTGGCACGGCAGACGCCAGCACCACCCAGGCAGCGCAGGCAAGCACGCGCACGGTGGTGCAATCGGATGGTGCGATTGTGACCAGCGGCAAGGCCATTCGATCGAGCACCGTTAAGTACGCTGTGGAAGCGAGCAGCGTGCAAGAGAAGACCATCAGGTAACCAGTCCTTGAGACAAGGACATTATCTCCTTTCCTTTCCTGTGCGTGTTTGTTGTTATCTATTACAGCCTCATCAATGAACCAAGCTCATCTATCTAACCCAGCCATTCAAACACCAGTAAAAAGCCACCAGAAAACAGGCAGTCAACACACAGCATATTTAATACCCTGTAATTTATGAAATATGCATTCTTCGACAGCTCCTAATGTCTACAAGATACCCACTGTCTTGGGCAGCAGCAAGGAGGGTCCGATACGTTCAGCCCCAGCATTTACCATGGCCGGACGCATTCGCCCGTCGCTGATACCCAAGCTGGTGCTGCCCGGTCCAGGGTATTATGATGGCGAATACACGGTCACCAAGTCTAAGCCACCCGTCTATTCCATGCGCGGCAAATTCAACGCAGTCACCGACGACAACAAGCCCGGCCCAGGTGCACATTGCCCCGAAAAGGTAAGCCAGATCTGAAGAAAGAATCTGAGCACTTTGGTTTATCTATATATATGTATTTATGACCTGACCCTTAGTATTGGGAGAAACGCTCGACGCCTTCAATATCCTTTGGCATTGTACATTCGAAGTTCTGTGGACGACAGAATCAATGTATATTACCAGATCGTTTTGCTAAATGTCTGTTAGGAACTCGGCCCGATAGGAATTATGCCTAGCTAGAGACTTTCGATCGCATACGAATAACAAAATTAAAATGCCAAAAACAAAATCCTAATTTTGCGTACACTTAACTGGTTTTTCTTTCCATCGTTCAGGTTAACCTCTCCCACACGCCTTCCTACAGCTTTGGCATCAAGCACTCGCCCTATCTGGGTACCTTGAAGGAGAGGGAAGATAATTGTGACTTTGGCTTTTCGGGCATCTGCTGAACTAAACTGAACTGAACTATTTGCCTCGACTCGCACCTCGCTCTGCTCAAGATGGTCTCAACCCTTCCCCATACACCCCTCTAATCTAAAAAGAACAAAAGCTTCCTCACTTTCAGTTGCAAATTAAAACTCAACTATTTGTGAATAGAAAACTAGAAAACTAGAAAACTAACAATTAAGATTTGATATTTTTGAATTCTATTTGTATTGTAAGCTAAAAGTGTTGTAAAATGTTTAAATATATACATTTATCTGGTATTACTAACTAGCCAATTATGTGTTTTTCAAATTCAATTTCATTGATTTAAATTTATTGTTAATTTGAAGACTTTTCAGATATTTAAAGCTTTCAACATTTTGTTAGGCATGTCTCCAAAAGTGCAATGCAAGAAGAGCAAGGAGAAAGACCAAAGTCAAACTGTTATACATGCTTATAACAGTTAAGTATATATACATTTGTATAACATTTATAGACCAAACTCAAACTGTTATACATGCTTATAACAGTTAAGTATATATACATTTGTATAACATCTATATTCACACATACAAATTATATTTATTTAAGAGTTGCATGTATATGTAAACTGTTATATATATACATATAACAGATATATATATAGTTAAATTATTCCAATATACATATAACAGATGCTTATAAATTAAGCGTTCATATAACAATTAAATATATATACAAATTATTAAAATAATGAAAGTTTAAGGAATATGGAAAGTACAAGAAGAAATAAGAATTCCTAATTTTCCATAGTGCGCTGCGATTACATAATAAAACGAGTAGATAAAATTGAAAGTGTTATACATACACGTCGGTTAACAAACCATATTCTAAGTTCGTTACAGTTTCGTAGTTCTTTTAGCTACATTAAAGAATTAGTGATAGAAGAAGAGTATAACACTTGAAACTAGGGAAATATATATACCTAATATGCAAAGCTCATAATATCTCAAAAGTGTTATACATAAGCATATAACAGTATTGTTGCATGTACTATTATATATTAAAATTATACTAAATGAAAAGCAAAAGTGTTATACACGTGTATAACAGTATTATATTGCTATACTTATATATTGTATGAAAAGTAGAAGTGTTATACACCAGCGTACAACAATATTATATAAATGTGCGAATATCTTCAATTGATGGAAAAAAGCCTGAGGAAAGGCTCAATAGAGATCCAGACGTAGGGTGCGAGTCTCATAGAGAATTTAACACTCGAATTTATTTTGTGCACTCCATTACCAATATGTTTTATTTATTACAACGAAAGATACAGCTAGTTTGCAAGACTCATAACATAATATTGGGGAAAAATTAGGATCTCAGCAGCCTCAGCTCCTACTTCTTCGTGATTTCGACTTCAGCATGGAAACAGGACTTGCCCTGGATATAGAGAAATAGATGTAAGATATAATTACACATGGTAAGGTTGAGCTGGAATGGGCAGCTCTGTGACTCACAGTATCGTGCGTGATCTCGGAGTCTATTATTAGATGACCACGAGCCATTCCCAGCATGGCTTTGTACTTGGTCAGATCGACGGTGTGATCGTTGGCGCAGATCTTCTCCTCGGCCACGGGGCAGCTCGATGGGGCGCCAAACACCTTGAGCATGTCCTTCGCGTCGGAAGACGCCTGATCAGCGGCTGAACATAGATTTAATTTGCCTTGATTCATCACAATGCCGTCCTTTTGCACCTTGTACTTGACCACAGCCGTGTTAAATGCTTTGTTAATAATGCAGCCCGTTGGCACTAGTTCGCATTTCTTATTCAGCTTAACGCCGAAATCTTCGTCCACTTTGATGATGCCGTCGTCGCCGGCACAGTTTTCCATCTTCACAATCCTTGCCTTGTATCCATTCTATAGGGTATATATACACGATCTATATATATAGATATTTCTGTTACACTTTTCACTTCACCTCCAACTTACACAAGCAAGAGCTGCCTCGAAGCAGACGCAGCTGAGCAGTAGCAGGATCCCAATATTCGACATATTCGTTGCAGATTTGATCGAGAATGGGTATTATGTTGGCCCCTTATATATGGCCTCCAGTTGGAAAAGTTTCAGCAATTAAATCCACATTAGGCGGTTCCTGGCTACGGCGATCGCTGATCGTTCAGCTCAATTGAAGCGCTGATCACTAAACAGACAGTCGGCCGGCCCATTAACTCGCTCTATATATATACACATATATTCATAATTTAACTGCCATATCTAATTGTCAGATTTTGTGAACATTAGTCTAGCGAAATTTGACATGCATGTAGATCTGGACGATTAGCTGACAACTAAGTCAAGCCCATTGAAACGAGAAAGCAATTTATAAACGAGCATGTTACAGCATCAAGGGGAAACTCTCAACTGACGCGCGAATTCAATTTATATTGTTAATATCTTTCGATCTAAGTTCTTTTTTATTTTAAATCATATAACAAACCAGCCACATGATGCAGAATATCATTTAGTTGTATTGTCAAAATTGCATTTTTTTCAAACATTATGTGCACGTTTACGTTATTTGGGCCACAGCTGACTTCATTACACACGTTCACGCTCCACAGCTCTGTTAAAATTATGTCGAAATCAATATTTTTGGACTTAGTACCTGGCAATGACCTGTGGAGCAGATCCACAGAGTTCCAGCATCAAGCTGAAAAACTATTGATAATGGCCGTAGATGCTATATATTTTTAATCAGATGTTGTCTACATAAAACTCAAATATTTGGTTTTTATTTAGCCTTTAACATTAGCTTTTGCATAAGATATTTTTATCATATATAGTATTTATGTAGTAAAGTAATATCTCAAATCATAAGCGAGTCTAAATATCGAGTTATTAACTCTTAACTTATTCAAGCTTTTTATACTTTTCAAAAGTGTAACGTATTACGGACCACGCACGCTGCAAAGCTACTTGCTATATCACTCTGGGCACTGCAGCATTTAATACAAAATGCAACTATCTGGCAACGCCACAGGCACTCTTGTCGCAATCTCTCGCTAAAAAATGAATATAGCCAAACGGCGCTTAACATTCAGTTGAGTTTAGTACCTCGCGCCGTGAGTACGTTTCGAGCGCTTGCGAGAAAAGCGCGCCCAAATCGCGGGTTTTTCCAATTCTGTTCAAGAGTGCAAAGCACAATTTAATGCGCTTCAATAACACATAACAAAAATAAGAGAAAAAAAAAACAACAAAAAGGAAACTAAAACAAATAAAATTGTTTTAACATTCTGGCAAAGCGATAAATAAATGTGTTTCGTATGGTTTTAAGTGTAAATACAGAAATTTTCAATTTGAATTTAAAACGTAAGCAAATAAAATAAATAAGTAAAAATATAAAAAATTTAAAACAAAAAAATCGAATACCAAAAGGTGCTAATGCGTGGCCTAAAGCGAATACGCGATAAAATATAGATATTATATACTGAGAACTGTGTTTTGCAAAATAATAGAGATAGAGAGATAGACAGAGAGAGAGAGAGAGAGAGAGAGAGAGAGAGCTGCTGAGCTACAGGTGATGACGAAGACAACACAAATTTTTTAGTTATAAGAAATTCAAATACAAACTCTATAAAAGATAGATAATGAATGTGTGCAAGTGGCTATGTATATATATGTGTGTGTGTGTGTGTACGTGACGTCTATTGACAGCGCTCAATGTCGCATTCTAATCTAAATGCATTTTTGGGTGCTCTCAGGGATATAAGCCCATATAAATTATCACTTTCTGAGCCGCTATCAGCGATCTCTTCTCTCTCTCTCTCTCTTGCTCTTTGCCGTATTGTTATCAAATTAATTTTCATTGATAAGTGACTTTAGAACGTATCAATGTATGAGTGAGCGAGTGTGTGTGTGTGTGCATTTATGTATGAGGGCATTGAAGGCTTTTCAGCGAAACGAGAAAACAAACACGGTCTCGGCCAGGTAACCAAACCGTGATTCATCGCATTCGTGAATGTGAATAAAAGTTGTTGTTGTTGTTGTTGTTGTTATTGTAGTTTCTGTTGCTGTTATTGTGGCTAACTGTAGACTGCGTAAGCAACTGACAACAATGACTATTCACTAGCTAGGCTTAATCATCACCTGTGATCAGTTCGAAGAGTCTTGCAGATATTTCATTAGATACTTCTTGTGACTTGCTGCAGTTGCAGCCAATGACCCAGCTGCCAAAAGTGGAACCCAAAAAGATAAATAAAAAACAAGAAACATTCTCAAATACGTTTAATCGCAATGCAATACCCTTCTTGTTAAGGCAAAATATTTATTAAAGTATTCATTGCATTTCGCATGAAAGGCTTAGCTTCTGTTTGCCCGATTGTTTCCAGGAAAGCCATTTGATTCCCAGTTCCCAGATGCTGAATAGTTATGCTTATCTTTGTTAAGGAAAAAAATACATAAGTATAAAAATAAATAAAAATAAAAAATAAAATAAAAAAAAGTCGACTTCTTAGACTGAGATAAAGACAAATCTCGGCGACCCAGGATTCGCTGTCGCTTGCCAGCCAGACGCCTTATCACTTACCACTATACAGAAGGGAGTGGTCGAGAGACAGAGAGAGGGAAAATTATAATTGATAAAGGCATTACAACTGTAAGTAAAGCTATATGCTATAAAGTTCAATTTAATAAGTATTTAATCTCAATCATATGAAGCTAATATTCAATACATTTCCATATCAATTAACGCTGCTAAAGAATTTTGCATATACAGCTAGAAGAAATATTCTTACTCAAACGTCAAACAAATCAAGCAATTGTTTAACATGATATTTCATGATCAGTTCGTAAATAGCATGAGAAACACGTTATACCCTATGTTAGGGCATGCATAAGAGACTGTTCTGACGAGCTGGTTTCACGTTTTTCTTTATTTTTTTGGCAGACAAGTTTTGAAAACAACTTTCTTAAACCGGTTATCAGCAGAGGGAGGGTTCCAAAAAAAAAAAAAAAAAAACGGAATACAAATTGAAGTATTGTCAAATGGTTGGGGAGTTTATATTGAAATGACAAACAAATTTTTAATGATCCATAAATGAGTCACAGAAACATATGACTAGGAATACAATTTAGTCGAAGACGTTATTGATTTAAATTTTGTATTTCGCATGGATACTCCTACTTAACCACTTCTATTTTAAATTTCATTAAGAATACTTCCACACATAAATTGTAACTTGTTTTGCATTTATATTTTCCATGAAATCCTAAATCTTTCTAGACACAATTTGCATTTTCTAAAGAGTCAATCATTGTGCACATACAAATTGCAACTCAAGTCGCATCAAAGATACTTTCTACTACAAATTGTATCTCTATGTAAGCTTTATATTTCTACTTGTCAAGTGTGCCATTGATACTTGTAAAATGATCAGAATCGAGCTTACTGTCTACACACAAATTGCAATTCATTCCGAATCAATGATACTTTTAACATGTAAATTAATGTTTTCTCTATAATCTTTATATTTTCTATGACTGCCTCGATACTTCCAAACACAAATTGTGTCAGTCATAGAACCACAGATACTTTACATACTTCACATTCAAATTGTATCGATCTAAGATGCTTCGCATCTTCACATTGCATCAAAGATACTTCCACACACAAATTGTAGATTGTATGGTAATATGGAAGCTTGAATCAATTGGGTCAGCTGTGAAATTGCCTGCTGTGTCCGATTTGTTTATTAAATGCACGCTCTCGAGATCCACTTCAGCTGCTACAGAACGTTAATTGCTGCCATTGAATCAATCACTCCAACTTTGTGGCAAATTGTTCGGCAAGTGAAACTGCAATCGCAACCAGTTGCAGCACTTGCCGCAGCAGCGACTGTTAACTGCTTTAATAAGCGGGAAAATCAATAATCGAGTATTTACAAAGAAAATGGCCAGCAGTGAATTTTCACACCTTTTTCTGGGTGCTAGCACAGCGTCTTAGCATTTCCCGGTATAATTGAACAATGTATCAAATTAATGCCAATTGCATTACGTTGAACTCCAGCTAACTCCGGCTGGGAGCAATAAAAACCGAACGAATTTTCGACTTGTGAACGTGGTTGGGGGCGCTTTGAGTGAGTGGATTTGCCTGTACAAGACATAAATAAATAAGTAGGGTGTGTAATGAAGAGTGATCGACTGTTAAATACCTTGTCGTCACCATTTTCTTATCAAAATATGAATGTGTAAAGACTATATGATATACTCTATAATTACAACCTATACAAGTTTAGAAAAGAAAGCTTGACTATGGAATATCGTATTATGGGTTCTACAATATTCTAATAAACCTTTGTAAACATTAGTTTGGGCAATTTATGTATTGTGTTTCAAAAACTATATGCATATGCATATTTATTTGTACATTAAAATGTTTATTAAAATTTTATTAAAATTAAATTTGATCACAATTAAAAATTAAAATTTTTAAAACTATATATCAAAGATATTTCTAAGCTTTTATAGTATTTAAATAGCCAAGATGATAACTGTAATTCAAATCTGTATTACAAATGTATAAATTAGGCGCGCAACATGCCCTGTTTCTATACAACACGCATGCAGGGTATTAAATGGGCTGCAGCTGGCAGACTAACATTTTTTAGCCAGGCCATTGAGCTGTCCGTTTGGTCAGCCGGGTGGGTGGCAATTGCCAAGGTGTAAGTGTGTGTGTGTGTGCATTGGGCAGCGGAAAATGTGTTGTTTAAGCGTTAAGTCTCGGTTGGTTTTAAGGCCATGCCTTTCACCTGAGACAGAGAAAAGCTAGATGAATTTCCTTGCTATTCATTATGTTTATTTAGAAGTTTTCAAGTTTTCCACTTCTCCGGCACTCGTAGCTCGTAAATTGTGCGCAGCGTGCAAAACTTTGCGGCTTGGCACGCAGTTGCCTACGAAGAACAATAAAAATTTAATCTCAATGCGAAACAGAATGCAGACCAAGATCCAGCACCGGACGTTTATTATTATTATTAAATGTTTATTGTTTTTTTTGGAAATGCCTGCACAATGTGCAATGTTTACCGTGACCCAAATGCGCCACGACATAATTGTTAAATATTTACATACAACAAATTTAAGAATCGAATGCAATTTCAACTTTTTCTTTGCCATTGCCAATCGAGGGCGGGACTCAAAATTTGATGTGAAATGAAATATAAATAAACCCGCAACCACTTGAAGATTATTTTAGACGTAATATTTGCGGCTGCGGCTGCGGCTGCGGCTGTTGCTGTTTACAAATAACAACAATATATGGCCGATATATAAATCGGGCAACGTGCCAACAAAAATGGTTTTCATTGTAGCCAAAACAAAAACTGTCCACAAAAAAATACAATAATAATAAAAAGCACTTAAAAGTCGCGTCAATGAAATCGAAAGCTAAGAAAAAACTAACTCGAAAAATTTCGCTCGCAAATCTCAAGATCGCAACGAATTGTACTTACTGACCAAAATTATATAAGCCGCATTTGTTGAAAACCCCAAAACGGTTTACTACGAACATTTCCGTGACTCTCTGACTCATGCAGCAGCCACAATTAGTTTGTGGCTTTTTTTTGTTACACTGTAAGAAATAGATGCTCTTTGATGTCTCATTTGTATTGAATGCAAGCTCAAATTACGTTTTTATACCCTGATCTCGTCGAAAATGGGAAATCGGAGTATAATGGTATTGTGCAAATGTGTGTAACAGGCAGAAGGAGGCGTGGCAGACCACATAATGTGTATGTTGATGTTTTTGTCTTTTATTTATTTTTATTTGCTTTTCTTTAATAATTGATACAAACTATGGAAAATGTTAAAAAACGCAGATGGGACTGGGATCAGGGTATCTGCTAGTTGGGCAGCCCGACTAGAGCTTTCTTACTTGGTTTTATTTGCTTTGCAAATAAATTTATTGAAAAATATATTAAAAGCTGAAATACAATATCATTTGACTTCATTAAAGCAAACCTTAAAAGTCGTCTTAGCACTCAAAAACTTTTCTCTGTGTATTGTCCAATGGTAATTTCACTTTGAATTCAACACAACTTTCATTGTAATTATGTATAGAAATAATAAAAATAAACACAAACAAGAAAGATACTACTAATTACCGTGTACTTACTCACATATCCCCTGCTTTATCAAATAAGCCAAACGCAGCGCTCTTGCTTTTGCTATTTTGCTATTTTGCATCTGCAATTTCTGCGCCATTTCGTTCGCTGTTTCTGGGCGCCGATTTAAGTCGTCAGCTAATCAGGTGCACATATCTATATAAATGCTCAGATAAGCATACATATATACGCATTTTTTTCGAGCATTGCAAAACACATGTTAAACAAGCTGATAAGAGCGAGCGGCGAGTGTATCTGCGAGATACAGTATCTTAAGCTCGCCCGCACTTTAGAGGAGCCCGAAAGCAGGCAAGAAAAACGTTATTTAAACATTATACTTGATACATATATATATTTATATGTCGGTCTTTATCAAGCAGCCTCTTGCACGCCAGTGGGCTGGAGGCGTGGCAGCTGTCCCTCTTTTATTCTTGCCAATTTATCAATATGCAAAGCGTGTTTGTTTTTCCAGTTGTTGTTTATGCATCTGTCTGGAAGATTAGCTGTCGCGCTGGCGTTGCGATTGTTGTTGATCTTATTGTTCTTGTTGTTGTTGTTGTAGACGGCAAAAATGCATTAGACAAGCAGCTAAGCCGCAGCTTCACGCTCGCGCTCCTGTGGGCGTCAGCAATCCAATAGCAATCCAATTGCACAATCCAACTCCCAACTTGCCCCATACCCGCTGGCAACAGCTGTCAACTGCGTGTGTGAGCGAGTATGTGTACGTGTGTGTGTGGAGCTGCACTTGTTGGCCCGCCCCCAAGGCGGAAATATGTCAACAGAGCCCACGCGACACGCTCCAACTAGCTTCACTTATTTCGGCTCATATATCACAATTAGTTGAGCTACATGGAACGTAGTCAACAAATATTGGGTCAAGCCTTAATAACAACAACAACAACAATAACAACAATAACAATTGTTAGTTAGTTAATTAATTAACAATACTTAAGAAACATGTAGTTGACATATTTTGCAGGTATGACAATACTTGTCATCGGTCCATTGCCAGATATCGAGCAGACAGCCCCCAACTGCCCCGCAAATTACACTGAAAAAAATACAAATAAATTTGATATAAAAAAAAGTTAACAGAAATGTGAGACATGGCTTACAGTGGAAATTTAATTTTAACTTAGGCGAGGCTAGTTCCAGAATTTAATAAATATTAGAAGCAGAAAAAGTTGTTTTATATATGTTGATAATATAATAAATCAATTTGTATATTTGCTTAAACATATTTGGCAAATTCGATGTAAACGTGGGGAGAAACATATATGATATGGGAAACCTGTGGGTATATGAGTATTTGATATTGTTTATATTTTAGTATCATTGTTAAAGACCTACTTAAGTTTGTTTGTTCCTATGACAGCTATTTGATATATGGTCAACTGATCCCCCATGACTTGCATAAATAAAAGAAAATAAGAGCGAAAATTGAATTCAAGAGTGTCTGACTGCACTGCCGAGAAGTAGACGCATGTTAGCCATTCAG